GTCTGGGGTAGGGCCTGAGGATTTGCATGTCTAACAAACACCCAGTTGTTGCTGATTCTGCTGGTCAGGAGGACCCTGATTTGAGAACTCTTGGCTAGAACCTCTATGCAGGACTGTGGCTCTCAGGTAGCAAGAGGGAGAGATCCAAACTCTTCTTCCTCTTCCCTTTGGGCTGAGGTGGGAGGAATCAAAATCATTGATGCTCTAAGATCATTGGACTGGAACCAGGAGACTTAAGGTATTATTACACTGGTCCTGAATGATCTTACTGAAAGGCCTCAGGGGAGTGAGTCTCCACTGCTCTCTGGGCCTCAGTTTGCCCCTCTGTAAAATGAGCAGGTGGCACTTTTCTGTATGTGTTATTTTCACAACCAAAAAGTTTTTAAAGATAAAAAAGGAAAACAAAATGAACTAGGCGATCTCTAAGAGGGTGGAGGTGGGAGAACCTCTTGCAGGCATCACAGTGTGCCTGGAGGCCTGTGAGTGGGTATCGGACTTGGGTTTTAATATGGCTGTGATATTTGCCAGCTGTGAGTACTGGGGCACATTGCCTAACCTGGCAGAGCCTTGGCTCCTCCTTGGTAAGTGGGGTGCCGACCTTGCAAGGTTGTCTTGGGAATTGAGGTAAGTGTGTAAAGTGCCTGGCCAACAATGTTAGCTGTAGTGGTTGTTTTTGTTATTTTCAATGTCTTTTCAAGGCTTGGGGAACAGAAAAGCAACTCTTCTCCCCCACCCCTCCTGACTGTGGAGCCGGGTGATCTTCATGTTGATGACGGACTCAGGACTTCTAAGCATGTCTCTCACGTTTTCCCTTGGGATGATTGTCCTGGGAAATGCTTAACTCCCCAAATTTTCCATGAACTGTTCCTTCTCTAGCTCCCATTCATTTGATTATTTATTTAATATTTATTTAATGTTTATTGAGGGCTTACTATATGTTCAACACAGGACAGGCACTGGGTATGCAGGGAGGGAAAAAAACCCAGATGTAGTTTCTGCTCCCTGTGGAGTTCACAGTCTAGGGGGAAAGCAGATGTCAACCTGCAAATCGCACAGAATCGGGTGAAACCCCCAGTGAGAACCGCTGTGAAGGAGACTGGAGATGGTGCAACCACTGGGGCATTGGACCTGATTGGGAGACCAGGGAAGGCTTCAGGAATTGATGACTGAAAGGATGATGTCTGAAGGTAGCAGCGATTGTCTGGATGAAAAGGGAGAGTAGGGCATTCAGGGCGGAGGGAACAGCATGTGCAAAGGCCTAGAGGCAAGACGAGCATGGTGCTGCTAGGAGCTAGGCTGGAGGGACGTGGAGGCAGAAGGGCGAGCAGCAGGGAGTCTGGTCTTCATCCCCAGGGTAACAGAGCATTGGGAGGTTTGAGAGCAGAGAGGGCCACAAGATGTCTCAAATATCTCCTCTGGATGCAGCTGGAGAAGAGATTCCAGGGCCTGGAGAGGAGGGGGAAGGTCTGCTGGAACAAAGCTATGGCAGTGCCCAGAGAAGGGATGCTGGCGGCCTGGATGGGGTAGGGGGTGCACTTGAGATGGAAAGAAATAGCTGTTGAGAAGATCCTTTGGAGCTGACTCCTTAGGACTTGGAGGTGATTGATATGGCAGACGAAAGAGTGACTAGGGTGGCTTGGCTGTCTGGCTTCCTAACTGGCTGTCTAAGGTGGGTAGTTGTGGCTGTCACTGAGGTAGGGAGGAATTCCCCTTCTCCTCTCCTGAGTATTTCAGAGCCCTGCTGGTCACTGGTTGCACCAGGGTATAAGACAAGGACCCTGTGGGTATGTCTCAGTGTCCTCGCCTCCTCTAGGAGGCGATAAAACATACAGTGCTCAGCATAGCAGCTGGTACTCAACCAATGATAGCCCCCTGCTGGGCCCCAGACTGTGACAATGCTGTGCCTCTGGACCACCCACGGCACCCCCTACTCAGGAGCTGTTGGCCTCTATTATAGACACCTGTCTCAAGTGGACACTCTTACTTCCTTGGGGAGCATCTGGGACTCCCCCTGAGGTGGGGAGATTCTGTTGTCTCACCCCTAAACCACCTCACCATCATCTTGGTAGACAAAGCAAGGGAGGAAGAGAGCTGGTGCTTGGCAGAGGTTGCACTTTTACAGGTGAGAGTGCAGCTGGCTTGCATTTAACACCAAGGGATCCAGCCCTACTCTAAACTAGCTGTGTGACCAGAGGTGAGTCCCTTTTCCTCTCTAGGCCTCAGTTTATCTAACTGTAAAATGGGGTGGGGCACTGGATTGGAGACTGTCTCAGAGCCCCTCTAGCTCCAGATCTCTGGGTTTTTGTCTATGCCCAAAGGAGCATGGGCTGGATGCCTGGACCACCTTCCTTCTCAGGGTAGAATTCTGGGGGTTTGCCGGAGCCTCAGCCCACTCAGTCGATCTTCCTTGAACTCTTGCCATAGTAACCTTTCGGTGCTGGACACCTCCACTTCTGTCTTTCTGGCCTACCTGTCCCAGGGGTCTTCCTGAATCATGGGTTCTAGCTAGTTTGGCTCTTCATTCTCCTGCCTGGGACACTCACTCAAGGCAGGCGGGCCCACCTCCATGCCTGTGCTCTTGCCATTTCCAACACTTCCTCCTGTCTGCCTCTCCTGTGCATGCTTCAGCTCAGATCTATGAAACCTTCCTCTGAGCCCCCTCCTTCCTGGAATCCCCAGTCTCACTTGTGACCCTACTCATTCATCCAGTGCACATTTCTCCACCCTGCCTTCCCTGGTTTTCAGGCTTTCTCATGCATGTGCAGTTTCTTTGATTGGTTGCTGGCTCTGCACAGCACAAATTTCTTGCATCTCTCTCTGCCAGGGCCTTGGATTGAAAGATTGTTCAGTAAGTGTTGGGGGATCATTAGCCAGAGAAACACCCAAGCCGTTCTCCCCTGTGCGATGTCCTAAGGTGAGAGACTAGGAAACCCAGAACTTGCCTTCCTAAGAGGGTCCCCAGATGACATCTGTGGATTTCTTTGCTTTGGCCCTGTTCATCTCCAGAAGTGAAGCCACCCAGCCATCTCCCCCACCTCTGGCCCAGACTCTGTGTTATACCCCCAGGTCCCCTCTTCTTAACAAAGGCTTCCTCAGTGGAAAAGAGCTTGGACACACAATACTTGCCAACAAAGGCAACCATTGTAGCCCCAGGGAAGGGGTGGGGGTGGAGAAACGGGGTGAGGTTTTGCTTTCTGCTTGCCAAGCCTAGCTCTAGGGAAGGCCCCAGCCCAAGGCTTGTGAGTCAGGCTGCTGGGGTCCTAGCTGTAATCTGTCGCTCTGGACCTGCCCTGCTTGAGGCAGGAAGAAGGGCTGGAGCAGAGCTGGGCGCCTGAGTTTTCTAGGGGACTTTCCCTGGGATTGACCCACAGCAGGGAGAAAAATGAGCTTTCAATTCCCACAAAGTTCCCACTCTGCAGCGGGAAACCGGGACCCTGAGAAGGGAAGTGATTTTATCCTGAGATTATTCAGTGGGCTTGCGGAGGTCCAGAACCGTGCAGCTCTAGCCTGGTCATCTCCAGGCTCTTGTTACAGGCGCGCACACACACGCATACACGCACACACATAACCTCTCACATTCTTGCTCCATCAGCCTTCACACATGATGGAGCTTAAAGGACTATAAAGAGAAAGAGGAACTTTATTCTTCCCGAACTTAATATAGCTCATTTGGTGGTGCCATTTCCAAATAAATATATGCTGTCACGTTGCCAGGAATATAATACACATCAGCTCTGTGAACCTGCTTCATAAATGCTCTGGCCCTCCAAAACCTTGGCATTATTTCCAAGATTCTTTATTCCACGTTTTTTTTTTTTTTTTTTTTTTAAAAAAACCTCTTTTTTCCAATTCCCACCTCTGGATTGCTTGAAATATAGTTGATTTGCAAATTGTTAGGAACACATTTATAGAGGAAAGCAAGAGCTTGAACTGTTTGCCCTGACCACTGAACTGTTCTCAACACCATTACAAGACCAGCATCCACTCTTATCTCCCAGACTCTTGGTTCTTCCCACCTAGGGTTGTGGCAGGTGCTACTGGTGCCAGGTGTGGAAGTGGAGGGCAGTTACTTATTAAGCACCTATTATGTACGTCCATTATATTAACACCCATTTCACAGATGGTGAAACTGAGGCTCAGAGCTAGGATTTTAATCAGGGCTGTCTGTAAAGCCAGGGCTCTCTCCTCACCTCGCTCAGCCCTGCTGTTGGTGCTTCTGGGGCCCAGGGAGCTGTAGTCTGAAAAATGGGTAGATCCAAGGAGTCAATGGTTAGTGGGGCATCAAGGCCATTATGAAAGAGGGAGACGTGCTCTCCTAGAGACTCACTGTCCCCCAACCCCCTCGACTGCACTTGGACACTCCTTCGGCCCCATGGCTCAGGAACAGTAACGGAGGGCAAGGCAACGGCCGAGAGAGGGGGCAGAGCGGCCGTGGAAAGCGGATTCGGGCCACCACTCCGGGAGCAGAGGCGTCCGAGGGGACGATCGGGCCCTGGCGCCAGGAGCCCCTGCCCGGCTCCGCGTGGCACTTCCGATCCCCAGCCGCCGCCGCTGAACTCCCCAGCCCCGCGTACCGCCCCCGGGCGCACTGCGCCCCCCGGCTCCGACCCG